CCATTTGAAATATATATATATATATATATATATATATATAAGTGGTTTGGTAAACCATCATGAGGAAGCCAATAATTTATTAACAAGCGGATTGATTACCATATGAACCCAATTCGAACTACAGGTTAGAAAAGCATTGCACAGGGTCAACTGAGTGTTACAAGAGAAATTAATGAATCTAACATTGTTAAAGTCCTATTTTTGATACGATAGACTAAATAAAACAGGTATTTTCCGGTTAAATACCTTTAGAGAATCCGTGACAGAAAAGACCCTTTGGGCTCGAGTGCCATTGGGAAGCTTGATGGAGTGGCGGACAGTGTCCAAGTCACCAGAGGGTTCCTGGGGTAGTGAGGCAGCCCATCTTCGCTGACGCCTGACATTAGCTCGAGCCAACAGGGCTTCACGCTTGCGAGCTTCAGCAGCTTCACGTGCAAGCCGCGCCTCTGTTTCTGCAGCAGCAGCACGCAACCTCGCTCGAGCCCGATCCATCTCCAGGGAGGCCTGGAATGCTTCGTCTTGTTCACGACGCAGACGGGAGGACAACTCACGCTCGGCCCTAAAGCAAAACATAACAACTAAAAGTTAAATGAGGTATTGAAAATACGAGCTACTGTTTTGAAGACAATGCAGTGATTACGTTATTAAAACTTTTCGAATTAAAATTTCTATCCATTTTACTAGAACATTTGATCAAGATTATTTTTATGCTCCTTTTCTTAGTAACCACTTTGACCCAATTAATTCATCTTCAATACTAGGGTGTAAATATGCCCCTGTAAGCACATCACACCACTGCATCCACCTAAGTAGCTAAAAAAACTCTTTCTAAATTCTCCTAGCTCCCACTTAATATGTCTCTCAACACTTGTTTAAGGAAAATAGTGGGTGAGTAGAAAAAGCTTTTGTAGAAATATATATATATATATATATATATATATATATATATATATATATATATATGTATATATATATAATCACCACAAATAAAAATTGACATTGGCATATTCTAATACTGCCGTTATTCTAAAGTAGTAAGCTTTATTAAGAACACTGAAAAAGGAGACAGCGACCTAAATCTATTGATTTTCAAGGGAAAAACAAACGATACAGAAAAATTAAGAAACTTAAAAGTGCACGTCATATGTGAAACACCTTATAATATTAGTTTTGAGAACAACCACTTCTACGCCTTCCTAATTACTTCTACAAAAAGGAAGGAGAAACTTTCCCTCACTCCGTTCTCTCAAAGTTATTTTATTTATTCACTTTAACAGTAAGAAAATGGCAATAAAAGAGAAACATGAAATGCACTTAGGGCTTTTAATTTGATGGGACAATACCAACGCTTTAGTCCCGAAACAACTCCTTGTACCTCAGAGAACGTTAACAGGGTTGAAGGATATAAATAGGTTTTCAAAAAAGATGGGAAAAACTAATTTAAAGATAAGAGAGCTCACGAAACCAAAGGCCATTGCTTTATCCAAAATTGGAGTTTCTATTCAGGTTATCTAGATTCGGGGTGAGTGATAGTCTTACCTTCACATGGTGCACCTTTGGCAACATATACTCATACGACAAAAAGGCAATAAACCGAAAGTTGACTTTTGACTTCAAACTACCATGACTCGACTGCATGCCATATTCCACCACTGCCGCAATACTCACCTTTTTTTATTTCTTTCTTACATTAACGAATCACTCTTCCGCTCCCACTCTCGACTTTTTGTGACTTTAATGTTCCTCCCCACTGTGAAGCCCGAAGTCAACTAAGGGCTAATGATAACTATCATAAAGCCTGCCAATTGTATATCTAGATTCAAACAAAGCTTATTCATTAACATGCCTGAAGGTAAGATTTGATTGGAGAATGGTTTTAAGGATTCAAATGAAATCTAGTTTGTCCAAATTTGTTGCTTATGCACCCCTCGCATATAATTTTTCAAAAGTGGCTTACTGATTTGACGCCAAATTGTTTTAGTGCATACCCAGACTCTTGAAGTCACATGAAATCTTTGAAAATCGGATGTCTCCTATTCGAAGTATTCGCATCGCTGTCTCTCCCCTCTGCGAAAGTTCACATATGCTTGTAAGGGAGCGTTAATTTGTTGATGTTTCTCTATCCTAAGTTGTAGTTACCCCAACAGTGAAGTGGTTACACGACTAAAATAACTGACTCAAGTTGTTATATGGTACCTAGTCAACAAAGACTTTGATGAACAGAAACGAATTAAAGAACCAATGTCGGTACTAAGTTAAAGGGTAAAAAAGTACATAGTATTTAGAATAACTAGCTGGAGGAACAAAATAATATGCTTAAACAAAAAAATGAACTTTAATAGAATCTAAGATATACAAATGTGTGTGATAGACTTACCTCCAAGTGATGCACCCTGGACAACGTATACTCATACGACAAAAAAGTCTATTAACCGGCAATTGACTTCTCACTTCAAACTACCATCACCTCACTATATGTCCTATTCGACTACTTCCATAGTACTCACCTCACCTTTTTTCTACCTTTGTGCCTGTCCCTTTTATATCTTTGAAACACTCTTCTGTTCCCCCCTCTCGACTTTTTTCCAATTTGATGTACCTTCCTCTCTGTGAAGCCTGAAGTCAACTAAAGGACTAATGATAACCATCAAGACGCCTGCCAGTTGATATAATAATAATAAAAGATAAACAAATGAATAAAAGGTATTTTGAAACTTAGGTGTAGTCAATTTAATGCTAGGAAAGTGAGTTGCCGAAACTGTTAAAATGGATTATGCTGGAGATAAGACACAAAAGGGACTTTATAAAACAACGTCAGCTAACGTTGGGAACAGAAGAGTACGTTTTATCCCGATAATTAAAATCCACAACGTAGAAGCCTTGACTTTTCAGATTTGCAATACCGGGTTATCAAAATTGAAGGCAAGCAACTAAACCAAATAACTAAGAAAAATAATTTAATACTCGTATTTACCTAGCCATAATCATAGAACAGACTTATGTGTATAGGCACTCAAAGCAAATGAAAATTTTCCTCATTAAAATCAATAATAAGCTAATTGATCAAAATAGAAAACAACTCCAAAAATTACTATCCAACCGTCCCTCTACAGACAGCCCAAAAAACAGTTTAAATTACCTATCAGCCCGTTCCGCAACAATGACGCCTTGATGATCATCCATGATCAAGTTAAGTTGAGTTATTAATTCAGTAGTCGGAGTTAGGCCCTCAATTCGACCTAGGAGAGCCATACGCGTTGGAGATCCGAAGGAAGTGCTCGAATATGCTACGAAATCAAATCCATCGGCAACTGGGAGTGGGAAATATTCGCAAGATATTTCAATACTAACTTACTAGGATTGTTTGACAGACCCACCACACCAACAAAGGGATATGTATGCTCTCTAAAGGTTTCTGAAACACGATAACCCTCAGGAGAATTGAGATTACAGCCCCATAAAAGGACATTAAGTGAGTTGTCAGTAAGAAAATCAAGAAATACGGGGTCAAGAAGAGTATCACTAAAAATTACAAATACAATGTTTAAGGAATTAACTTGAGATGGAGAATTTGATAACTGTAAGGGTAAACTAACCGACAAAAAACATCAGTATGCTCATGTGAATCGCCGTGGAGGTAGACAATGAGAAATCGAAGGGTTTGCTTAGCCTCTTTTAGAGCATCAGCATATGTTCCATTAAAGAAAGGGGGCATACGAGGAGGAACCAAACCAACACCGGTTTGGTCCTCATTTAATGCAGAAACGTATTTTTTTTCAAAAGACTCAATAAAATTACGTACGTCTCCAGCTGGGTCGGTAATAGCTACCATAAGGTAGAAAAAAGTCGACATAAAATAAACAATATAAGCACCGAAATAAAAGTTAATACTAGTGAAAACATACATCGACGAGGATCTGGCCAAACCAAAGATACTGAAAAAGAAGAAAAGAACTTTTAGCACAAGAAAAAACAGAAAAAAGCAGATATGTGAAAATTTACTCAAAAACTGGATCATGTTCAGTGCCGTGCGCAAAGTCCAACGAACAGGAGAAATTAAAAAGGAGGTAAATTGTTTATACCAGGGGACATTTCTGGAACGAACGCGATACCTTCTCTGATTAAAAGGTGAAATATCAACCTGAAAACAAAAGTTTAAGTAAATTTAATTGGTTACTGTTGGAATTTCAGCATTTCTTCTACGGACATTCTGCAATGAGGGATCATTATATCCCATGAAATTATCCACCGCTCTCTCCAAATCCCAGTTATTTGATTCCAATATATTTTTCGCTATAACATCGTCGCTAATTCCAGATATATCCTAAATTTTAAGGATAAATAAAAAACATACCATAAAATGCGTTAACACTGATAATTTGTTTTCGCTCAATTGTTGCCCATGATTAGAAGAAATCATTTCATGCAAGTTGTCTGCGTTGGACGCCATAATAATAACACATAAAATAAGTTTACCAATAAATATACGAGGGCAAATCGCGAATACACTGAATTGTCAATCAAAACAAAGATTTAACAAATTTCATTTGAAATAGAAGTAAAATTATATTTTAATGATTAACTTGTCTACAAATGTTTAATGTATTAATTGATCTTCATTTTATACAGTTATGTATTGCTCTTCAACATTTATAAAGAATATACAAAGTAACAGAACTTAAATTAACAATCCAAACATGGATAAGAAAGCTACGTTATTGCAGTACTACTTTTATGCCATTCAGGTGCTTTAAAATGAAAATAAACTTATTAGCTAGTTCAATTAGTAGACATAATATAGGTTTTGCATTAGGAATTACAATATGCAAGAAATGTTGGCAGATTCTTCTACTTAATTGCTTAGAATCCATTAATTTGCCATTTAAATCGTAGCAGAAAGTTATTTTGCCAATTTCTATGCTTATATTTTTTTTTACTCCCATGTTAAGTTGAAATTGTAAATGCTCTACGCCCTTCCACTTCATGATGCTAATATTGCTTTTCTTACTTTAATTGAAAATCATTTTACAACCTGAACTATGGAAGCAATTTCTATCAACTTTGGCTGTGCAAAGTTATCATATTAATTTTTTCAACCGGACAGAAATAAATCTATCTTTGTTTGTTGGTGGCACCTCTGCATAAGCTGTTGCGCAATACATAATATTGGCAATAGGATTCATAAAGTTTATTCCGATCAAAAATGTGTAAATCCGAATGATCATCGTTTCAAATTGCATAATGTTATAGCAATGTCATGATGAAAAAGCATAAAATGCATTTGTAAAATGAATAACAAAATTAAACAAATCAAGCTAGCTGATGCAACCATATTTTCATAAAGTTACTGAATTAATATTTCTATTTTAGTTCAAGACGAGTTTATCAATGATTGGTTGAATTAAGTTCTGTCAAAAACAACTGTTATTTATTTTGCGGTCGGGGAGGATGAAAATTTAATATACCAAACCAGCATTAAATTCTACAATTTTTAAAAGTGAATAAAAGATATGTTGATTTTCCTACAGATTAAATTTCAAATTTTTGCATATGAGCCAATTAAATAATTTATAAAGTAAAATATGTTTATAGTGATTGATACTTGAGCGGTAATATTAGTGTTCATGCTTTTTTTCTTTCAGCGTGTATAGTCCAGAATGAATGTCGTTAAACTGAATGGTGTGAAAGTTTATAATTTAACTTCAGAAAGATCTCTTCCTGAATGGGCTTCGAGATCTGAGAAAAAGAAAATGCTCAAGAAGGATCCAGGCGCTGATACCCACATAGAACTTATTCATGAGCTTGAGATGCCGGATGCTTCGACATACATAACGTGCTCTCCAGATCAGAAATATTTGTTTGTGCTGGGCCGTTACAAACCTCGTGTTCGATGTTATGAATTGAAGAACCTTTCAATGAAGTTTGATCGCTGTGTTGACTATTTGCCCTTTCGAATGGCTTGTCTCAGCGATGATTATTCTAAATTTGCTCTGTTGGAAGAGGAGCGCTGGATCGATATCCACGCTGCTGGTGGTCATCACTTCCGCTTTCGTGTTCCTAAAGCTGGTGTCGACATTCATTACACTCCATCCAACTGCCATCTTCTCATACCTTCTACGGGCAATGCTGTTTACAGAATGGACTTGTGTGAAGGCAGATTTGCAGCACCTCTTACTTCTTCTTCTTTAGTTGAATCAGATAGCTTCAATGCTAGCTGCTTCATGGAGGAATTGGATGTTCTGTTGGCTGGTACCACACGGGGCTCAGTTCAGGGTTGGGATTTACGGTCTGGCGACTGGACCTTTAATCTCGATGTTTGGGCCTCTTCCTCACGTCCTGCAGAGTTGAATAAGTCGGCACGCTTTGCGTGCACTACTCTTACTCACAAAGACGCCCTCAATTTCGCTGTCGGTACATCAGAAGGCCTTGTACATATTTATGACGTTCGGCAAACCGCTAGTCCCTGGCACACCCGGGACACTGAGTATCGAAAATCTGTCAAAACTGTAAATTTCCATGATGATAAGGTCCTCGCCTTGGTCGCCAACTGTCTCAAGATTTGGAATATTGATACGGGGAACATGTTTGTGGGTTTTGAAACTGGTCCTATTGAGGTTAATTGGATGCACCATTTCCCTGGCAGTGGTCTCATCATGCTTGCAAATGAAGCTCCCAAGGTGTCTCGTTATTTCATTCCTTTGCTTGGTGAGGCACCTTACTGGTGTAGTTACCTCGATCAGACTATTACAGAGTTTGAACCGGATGTTACAACTATGTACGATGGATACAAGTTCCTAACTCGTCAGCAATTGCTCCAATACGGTATGATGGATTTGATTGGTACGAGGTTTCTTCGAGCCTACATGCATGGATACTTTGTTTCAAACCAACTATTCATGAAGATTAAGGAGAAAATTTCATCTGCCATCGCTTCCACTAAAACAACCTCTCCGATAGTTAAAAACGTGCAGATCGCTTCCACTAAGGCAGAAAAAGAAGCCATTACTGCAGCGGAGATGGATGAAGCGGCTTGTGATAAGCGATTTACCAAATTGAAACTATCCAAGATGACATGTGATATTGCCAATTCTGAGTCGGACCTCATTCGAATTCACCAAGCACGTTTGGAGAAGAAGCGACAGAGAAAGGAACTACGCAAGATTCGAGCTGCTCGTGCGGATGCCCTTGTTAACCAGCAAGATTAGGGCGCTCTTTCCTTCTATTTCGTTATTTCATATCTCTTTAATCCACTTGTAAATAAATTTTTATCATGATTACCTTTGCATTCTCCTATCTTGGTGTTGTTGTTAGGTAGAGAATCGGTTGTTTTATTTTTAACTGCTTTTTGTTAGATGAATCGGGGAAGACGACGAGGTTTTTCCTACGGTGGTTTGGCTAATCTCAAAGAAAGTGTCAGAAGAAGACTGTGTGATCTCACTGCAGTGCCTTATGTTCCAGATCCCAAAGTGGAGGTTTCACGGTTGGTCCCTATTAAGTACCCCGAAATCGATATTCCCTCAGCTCTTACCCGTCCATCCAATTCGTCCACTGTCACAACTTCAGATAAAAAATGCAAGGAAACTGAATTCCATCGTCAAGTGGTATGTTGACGTTTTATTACTCTTCCTTTTTCTTAGAATTGAGATAATTCTAACCACTAATTTCGTTTATGTATTAGGAAAAGGTTTACTCCAGCTTTGCAAACGTATAGAAGCTGTGGCGTTGACATTATACGATATTTAAGTTGATAGGCATTCACTGATACAGATGTTTAAATGTATTGTTTAATGTGGATATTCATGAAGGGGTTTCCCATTAGATTACATTGACTTCTCTCTTGTTATATTTGGATTTATTTTGATCCAGCACCTCTTGATCTCTCCTTGCCGTACGGTATATTTAAAGTATGAGGGGAATATCACCATTAATATTCACAACTAATTGACTTCTCTCTCTCCCCCTGATGCACGTCTGGTAATGATTTTGATGCTATTTGAACTAAGCAATTAATTCATTTGTATTTTAATTTGGTTTTTCTTTTTGGGTATTTTTTCCAACTATTCGAGTGTACTCGTTAACTTACGCCATGCGTTTGAAAATTTTCAGTGAGTCTTCACTGGTGCCTATTTTTCTCTTGAAAAAATTTTTTCTTAGATGAATTTCTTTGGTAGTACTCTTACATTCAAAATGTTTTTTCGGTTTTTAATTTATTCTCACTCTGGAAGCCGATTTGTGATTCTTTTTGAGCTTAGTAGTTGATTGATCATGCTTATTATCTTGGTAGTTTCGTTTTGTGTAGTATCACTAACACGGAATGGTTACTTAGATAAACTTCGTAAGAGGAAGATCTTCGATTTTAAATTGACGAGTTGATGTGATTCTTAAATCTGGTCTCTTTGTGGAGCAGTGATAAAATCGGAATTCACAATGCAAACACTCACAGACGATATTCTTAAGTCAAGCGTTACCAGTCATTTACTCAGCTCAAAACGGCTTGCTTAATCGTTGAAGTGGCATTTCTGAAATTTCGCTTCACTATTATACGTTTTAGATTGTATTTGATTAATCTCCCCCATTTAACCATTGCAGTTTGAAACTCAGGCCATTGTCGAGTATGCCTTTCAACGTGGTAGAGATGGGCTGTACATGGCTAGTTCAAAAGACGTTACCTCTTCAGCGAGAATAGGTTCTAAGTTTAGTACATCGTCAGAAACCGAACATGCATCGGCTGCTAAACTCCTCTTGAAAAGGAAGGAGGTTGAATTCTGGGATTCCGGGATACTCGGCCTTTGTTCCGCACCTGATGAATGGTTAGTTTGCTTTAGATCTGTACTTTAGCTTTCCCTGTTGTAAAGAATTGTAGCGATTTCTCTTCCTCTAAGGTTCCCAGCAGGTATTACGACAAGAAGAAAGAGGAAAGCTCTGGATGTTGAGCAGAGCTCAACAGGCGCTAAACGAGTGCGGTTTGAAGAATCCACAGAACTTACGGGCTCTGATCTTAACAACTTTCCAGATTCGGTATTACTCACACTTGAGGATGCTGTTAAAGGTATGCTAGCCTACTTGATTTATTTTTTATGAAATAGCGAAGGAGGCTATTCCTTTGCACTAGAATATAATGTGGTCTGGGATTTTTTAACCTTACTGGTGGGAGAGAATGAGTTATAGCAAATTCTACAATGGTTCCATTAATTGGACGGAGGCAGGAAAACTGACTGTGTAGCACAGTAAGCTAGCATTAATAAGCGCAAGTGGTCATTTCAAGTTCTGACTAACTCCCCAAATCCATGGAATTTAATTTGAGTCAACTATGTACCACAGTTGCTACATACATGCGTCCACGTAAAATTTAGCATTGCCAGAATTTGTAATTTTAATGGTTTTAAATTTCAATTGTTTTGGCTAATTTTGTAAAACCAACAGGAGATGATTAAAGTTTACTTTAATGTTGCAGTATATCTAATATTGTGATTTAAGCCGTACTTTGCTTTTTTAGACGACACTACCTCCACGCAGCTTCTTGATACAGCAGACGATACTCTTGATCCCGAATCAGAAGTAAAAAATCCAGCAGAGGAAGGCGAGGATTCTGAGGATGAGAGATGGAATGGCGATCCGCCTGACCCAGAGGATGAAGATGGCGATGATTACATGGAAACATACTTTGACAACGGGGAAAATGACATTGATGATTTCAATCTCCAAATGAATGGAGATATGGATGGAGATGATTTGGATGGAATCTATGATTAGAGTGGAGGCTCCAGTCTCTACTTCTGCTTATTTGTATATTCCTTTATTTCATGTATATATTTATTTATTGCTTTTTCTCGGCTATTTGTTTCTCCAATTGTTGTAGGTAAAGGTGTTTATTCGGAGATTAGTTAATGACTTTATTTGAAGAGCCATGGGATATGCAAATACAGTAACACTATTTATCAGGATATTATTTGAAAAAAATTGTTTGTAGTAATGATAAGCTTAAGCAAAGCGTAACAGTTTTAAATGAAATGACCTCGTTATTAATAAAAAGCTAGGTCTCGTGGCATTCTAGAACTGTCCATGTCGTGTACGACCCAACCCTCCTTAACATCAACGATTCCCCTATTTCACCAGGATAAGTTCTGCAATGGAACAGAAGACGGAATATAACTACAAGCTTCTATTTAAATCAGCCTTAGAAAATAAGGCCAATAAGATAATGTTTCGTTCGGTAAATGAGAAGTTACGATTATCTTCATTAATCTAAAAGAAAATGGAAGAAAAACAAGGTCAGGAAACACAGGTGATACGTGTTAATTCAAATTTGAATTCCTCTAGGAAAAGAGACGGCAGCAGTACGACACTAGTGTCCTACTGTTTGTCTCCTTGAATAAATAGGTCTTAAGTCCATTTCTCTCGCAAATGGAACAGGATTAAAAGTGATTGTATAAATTGAAGGCCTACCTTAATTTTTTTAATCATCAGGGTCACATTGATCAAACTTTTGTTAGGTCTATTCAAGAAATCTCATATCCTAATGGCATACAAAAAGTGTCTGCGACCAGAAATGGTAGCTGTTCTCTTCTAGTTGAGAACTTCGGCCATTGTCTAAATATTTCCCCTTTAAAATCTCAACCTAACCTCAATGATCTATTAGGTTGGCAACTAAGTCATTGCTGATTTCAAATAA